ACCCCATCCCTCCCACCCCCCACCACTCCAGCAACCCTCAGTTTGTTTCCTGAGATTAAGAATTCCTCATACCAGTGAGATCATATGATACATTAGACCCAGGTTTTGAAAGCTGATAACAGATGAAACACAGCAGGGGGTGCTTGTGGGGGGAGCGGGAAAGTGTGAGAGTTTGTGGTGGTCATTCTGTGAGCACGCGGTACGTGGGGTCCAGCGCAGGCTGGTAGGAAATGTAGGAGCTGCCTTTTCCGTGGAGCTTCATCTGTGTTTTCTCTTCCGCCTGCAAGGTGTGTGCTTAGGGATGCAGTTGGCAGTGGTTGAATTTTCAAGAAATGTGCTGGGATGGCAAGGTAAGTGTTCATTAAAAACCTTGTTAAATCCTTGCTGAAGTGTTTCCTGGAGGGAGTGAAGCCTGGCGCCCACTGGGTGACCGGGGGCCCTGGAGAAGGCCAGGCCTGGCTTTGAGGTACCTTGTGGGGCACGGCAGAGGGGAAGTGCCGTGTGTACGGAGGGAAAGTTCCACTCCTCCACGCAGATCTCAGGAAGGAGGGGTCACAGCCGAGCACGCAGCCTGGCTCTCTGCCCCTGCATTTCCAGCTCCGGAGCTGCCCGCCCGCCCATCACCATGGCCACCATCCCTGAGCTGGCTGAGCGAGGAAACTCTGGCCTGCGTGAGGCTGTGCAGTTCTATGAACTTGGGCCCCGGAGATGGTCAGACCTGGGCCCAACTTCTGACCCTCCCTCATGGGGGGTGATTTTAGATAAGTTACTTAGCCTTTCTGGCTTCTGTGTCTTCTGTAAAATGGGGTGATAGTGGTACCTCCTTCTCGTGGTCGTAAGAACCGAATGAAATAATGCATGTAAATAGTCCCAGCACGGTGCCTGGCAGATAGGAAATTCTCTGTGCCTCGCCAACTGTCCAGGCCACCCGAAGACCCTGTGGCTTCCATCAGCGTTTCATCATGTCTCAGAGTGCCGTGGGGTGAGTGGACTTGGCTGGCTGGGGTTCTGCCCCCTGTGGTGCATCAGATCATCCTGCCGTGCATTCAGCTCTGCCCAGCAGGGACCTCCAGATGGTTCTCTCCACGGAGCAAGACTCATCATTCACTCATTCAGCCGAGGCATGTCACAGTGAGGCGACCTACTGGCTTCCAAAATGACAGGCCCGGTGTGCAGGCACTTACCAAGCTTGCTCGTGTCCCAAGGCCCAGCGCAGCTGGTGGGAGAGGGGACCACACAGTGCGACTGCGGGGGCGAGGCTCACTGGGGCCACCGACGGAAGAGCCCACACAGCCCCTCTCGTCTCTGTGGCCCAGCTGACAAACACGAGGTTTTCAGAAAGACCTTAGACGTTGTAAGAAAAAGAAACCAAGCATCCTGAGGAACGTGAAAGCAGTCTGGCTCCACAAGGGACGAGTGGCTCTCCCGCGGCCCGCTTACTGTTGGGATTGGGCTCCTTGTAGATGTTTCCGAGAGGCCGCCTCCCACTTACCCGAGGGCGTGGTGGCCAGTCCAGGCTGCATGCCCTTTAGTTCTGGCTCCTGAGCCCCTGGCAGGTGCTGTCCTAGCCACCCGCCGCCCTAGAGCTGGCCCTTTGGGCACCCTGGACCCTCTCCCGGCCACGATCCATCGCCCACTCGGGTCCCCAGGTGGGTGGGTGACCTGGTGACGAACTTACCTTCAGCTGGGACCTGGCCCTGGTAAGGCCCAGGAGGGAAGGATACCGGGCCTGTCACACACACGGAGCCGGGCTGTACCAGGAACTGGGTTCTTTTCCTTTTAGTCTTTAGTGGTTTTGCTTATGGCTAGACCATAAATTCAGTAAGGGAGAGGAAGGAAGATCAGTGAATGCCTGACTGAGCTGCTGCGCGAGGCGGTTGGGCAGGGTGACACGGAAGATGCCGAGGAGGAGAGAAATGTGTTGTCCGTCCTGGAGAGAGACACTCTGAAACGAGAAGGGGAGAACTAAGAACGGTGTACAAACGGTCATAAGGAGGCAGTATTTAAATAAGGATGATGGGGTTGTGCCACTGGGTTCAATTTCCCCATTTTGTGCGGCTTGACTTCCAGAGAGCTCACAGATGGCAAACATTCACCCGTGTGCACTGAGTACTTCGTGTCTTAATGTTATGCCTGGTTTTTGTTTGAATCACTGAACGGTCACTTGGAATTGGGGAGGGAAATTGTAGTTTAGAGCTTAGGAATGATACTCGAAAATAATCACTGTTGTTTATAACTATTTTCATAACATAAGTACTTCGATGTTTCAGATGCCAATTCTACAGAGTTTGACCCTAAGACCAATCATCCTGTGGTGAGTCCAGTGTTTGAACCTCATGAGGGCTTAGAAGGGCGCGGAGGGGGCGTTCATGAGAGCGCTTAGTGCTCAGACACAGGAAGGAGACCCCTGGGTCCGTCCATGGAACCCTCAGACCAGATGGGAAGAACTTTTATTTTTCATAGTGTAATTTCTCACTTCTCTTCCCAGTTTGCAACAGAAAATGTTTAAGACAGGTATCACCCCAGCCAACCAGGGTGGTTCCTGGTTAGAATAATTCTCCATCCCCGCTCCCCCTGGCCCCCAGGAGAGCATAACACTGCTGGCAGGAAACACGTGGGCCCTACTGTGCACCAGGCGCTGTCCTCACCACTTCACAGATACTCGTTCATTTCCTCCCCGACAAGCTGGGGAGACGGGCATGTTATTCAAGACCCGAGGAACGTGGTTGTTGAACGAACATGTTTAATGGTAACTAAAGCTTCTGGAGGCCCGCATCCCTCATGTGATGTCTCCGGTCAGAGGAATGTGGCTCCTGGGGAGGGACAGCGCCTTTATTCATCTTCACATCTCCCACCCGGGGGTGACAGGTCTGTTCTTGATACCAAAGATGCTGTGATAAACAAGGTGGACAAAGCTCTTGATCTCAGGGCATTTAAACAGCATCAGTATATGCTTGTTGACTTCAAACTGAACTTTGCTCAGATGAAGAGCTCAGGAGGAGAAGAGCGAAGGGTTTGAAGGGTGCAGCCTCACGGTGGTGGGAAGGCAGGGCCCAGAGACGGTCCTCGAGGCCAGGAGGTGCTCAGAGGAGCCTGGGACTGAGCCGTGCGCTGGGCTGTCGTGGCTCGGAGGCCTCGCACTCTGTGCTGCCCACACGTTCACCAAGCTCTGGCTGAGACACGGCAAACCCTGAGAAGCATTCCTTTCCTTTGAGCAGCTCATCAGTCCGGTGGAGGAGACATGTGTTATAACCTATCCGGTCTCACATCTGTGCTGCTGGGTTAAATCTCCAGAACGTGCTGAGGCCCAGCAGCCCTCATGATCCAAAGCGCTGGGGGCAGGAATGGCCAAGGGTGGGGGCAGCTCAGGATAACAGGCTGAAGGCTTAAGTCCCTACCCAACACAGGTTATGAACGATGAGAGGAAGGCCTTTCCTCCAGCGGCAAGCGTCTCTGAGCAGGGGCTGGGGGTTAGGGCTGCTCACAGGCCCTTGTCACTCAGTGCAGGCGGGCTGTCTGCTAACGGAAGCAGAGTGTGGTAGTGCGTGTTTGTGTTTTGAACACCCCCAGGTCATAGACATGCCAGAACACAATCCTGGGCAGATGGGTGGAACCATGAGGCTGGGCAAGAGGAGAACCCTGTTCCAGACCAAGAACTCGGTCATGAGTAAGAGCTGCCTACCCCCTCCCCCACCCCCCGCCTCCGCCTCCTGCACGTCCAGGACACACGCCTTGGGCTGCTGCTGGGGCTCCGAAGAGCCAGGCTGGCTTTTTGGGTTTCGTTCTTGCTTTCGAGTTTTTTTTCCCTTCCTACTCCCGTCCTTTTAGGATGCGCTATAATAGCCGAAGAAGCAGTGTGGCTCTTAGCGCACGGACAGTGCGCTCAGGGGCCCGGGGGTCTCGGGTGCGGGCGGCTCACGGGAAGGAGGCAGTGAGGTGCAGTCCCCCGCAGTCCTTCCCCTAGGCTGTTCGGGGGAACCGAATTCAACTGCCAGTGGTGGCGGGTGCTGTCCGCCAGAAAGGCAGTTTTGTGTGGGCCAACCGAAATCGTTTTTATTCTAAAAGCAATAGGCGCTAGAGATTTAGGGAAAATCAGGAAGAAAATACTTGAGAATGGCTGCAGTCAGTCTCCTTCTTTTGCTCACTAGGAAAATGCTGTCTTTATATTAGCAGGGCCCCTGTGTCTGTCATCGTTTGAGTCAGTTGAGTAGGCGACCGTGCAGTGCTCCCAGCTCCGTGCTCTGTGGACTTGGGGACCCCCCCCCCCCGCGGCCCCTGAACGCATGCAGTGCCAGTGCCACGACGCTCTGCGGACCGTGGCTTACCCACACGGCTGCCCCGCAGGCCACCTCCGCAGCTCTGGAAGTGTCTTTCTGGGTTCAGCTGTCTGGTGCATCCTGGTGTGTTTTTCAGGGCAGTTTCCAGCGGAAAGTGCTTTGAATTGCAGTAATCATGTGCTTGGGGGGCGGTGTGGAAACGTTTGTCTCTGTGACAGTTTTTCCTGGCGTGGTCAGAAGAGTCAGAGCCCGAGGACAAGTCTACGCTGCGCTGCTGCGGGCAGGTGGCCCTAGTTGGCAGGGGCGCCCAGAGCCGCCTTCAGAGGCCCGGCCGCGTCGGTGGTGGGAAGGACACCGGGAGCAGGATACGGTTGAGTAGGTTCGTGAATCAGGATTCTTTGCATCAGCCTGCTCTCTTTTGCCAGGGAAACTCTATGGAGATCCAGATTACCTGGAAGAGAGGCACCGCCACAGATTTGAGGTGAGGAGTTGAGCTTAGTGACCTTTCAACTTTTCTCCTGCTGGCGACTCTGGAAACGCAGCAAGCTGAGAGGTCAGCCGACTTACTCTTCGTGTGCCCGCAGGTGAATCCAGTCCTGAAGAAGTGTCTGGAAGAGCAGGGCCTGAAGTTCGTCGGCCAGGACGTTGGGGGAGAGAGGATGGAGATCGTGGAGCTGGAGGGTGAGTGCGGGGTGGCCGTCGGGGGTGAGGGGGGCTTAGCAGGTCTGGGCGCGGGGGCCTGGGAGCGCTGACCTGACGGCCGGAGGAGGCAGCCCCGTGCTGCTGGGGGTGCTCTTGGGGAACAGGCGCCCGGGGCCCCGGGGAGCCCATCCTCCCGCGGGCAGCGCTGCGCTTCTGGCCTTGGTCCTCATTCTCCAGAATGAGAGCTCGCCCTTGGTCCTTGAGCCCCGCTTCTGATGGGAGGAAGCCAGGGAGCAGGGCCAGCCGGGTGGGGACCTGGCAGAGGAGGGCCCGTCAGCCAGCAGGGCGACAGTGTGCGGGGCCAGGGCGTCTGCTCCCCCCAGCTTTGGGGCTGCCTTTACCTGCATTCCCATCAAGATGCTAGTTTTAGGTAATTTTAGGGTCTGTAGAAACGTGAAATACCTGACAGGGTTTGCTCATCTCCTGTGTTCTATGCACGTGACAAAAGTGCTGCTTTGGCGTTTCTGTTTCAGATCATCCCTTCTTCGTTGGGGTTCAGTACCACCCTGAGTTCCTGTCCAGGCCCATCAAGCCTTCACCTCCGTACTTTGGCCTCCTGCTGGCCTCCGTGGGGAGGCTCCCGCATTACCTTCAGAAAGGCTGCAGGCTCTCGCCCAGGTGCGGTCACTCTTCTCTAGTCTGTCGGGGGGGCCCCCGGCTCGTCACAGCGGGCGTGCTCTCCTCCCCGGGGGTCCCCTTGGGCTGCCTGTGTGCCGCCTGGAGCTTCCCCTGCGCGGGGTCCGGGCCGTCAGTATGGCACCTGGTCCCCGGGCTCGCGTGTGGCGGCGTGGCCCTGGGGTCCGTGGGCCGCTGGCTCTCACAGCCCCGGTGGATCCCTGCCTCGCCGCTCCCTTCCTTCAGAACCGGTTCCTCACTCTGAGCTGGGGGTTGGAGTTCCAGGAGTGAAGTACAAACCGAACGTGTAGCTTCCCTAACTAGAAGAAAACCCCTCTGCAGCTCTGTGCTCAGTACGTGAGGCAGGAGAGCATCTCCCTGATGCCTGCTGTGTGCGGAAGAGGGTCCTGTGGGTCTGTGGCTAGGGACACAGAGAGGAAAGCGGGTGAATAAACCATCCGAATTCCACAGGGACACCTACAGTGACAGGAGTGGAAGCAGCTCCCCGGACTCTGAAATCACCGAATTGAAGTTCCCATCAATAAATCACGACTGATGGTAACGTAAGTGGCATTTCTCAGCTCTAGTATCTTCGTTCGTTTGAATGGTGATTACGCTAGAATTGTAAGCTGTCGTGAAAGTCTGATGTTGAGGATTTTATCTGCCAGAGTAAGGTCGGTGTGGGTATCAGGTGGCCGAGGCCTCCCTGAATTACAGCGTCGGTGTCCCCCGGGCCTCGGGGCTCCAGTGCAGGGCGGAAGGGACACCAGCCACTGGGCAGTTGTCTTGTTGCCGATTGTGACATTCAGGTGCCAGTCTGACCAAACCTGGGGGAACTGGGCTCTCAGACCCTGTTATCTCATGTAGCCATAAACTTGGAGAATCTTGAAGGAGGGGACCGATGTGACAGAATGGTCATGTTTGTAGAAACTCAGGCTTTCGTCGGGAAGTGCTTTAAAATTGACACAACATACAACACTTATGTTGATTGCTGCTTATTCTGGAAATCCCTTAAAATCGGAACGCTTATCGGGCAGACTTGGAATGTCAGTCTTCACAGTGACAGCGTTTGTATGTTCCTGACGTGGGTGGTTGTGAGCCCTGCCGTAAATTATGTTCAGTGTTACTGTGATGACCGAGTGAAGTGTGTTCACCTCCTGCTGGTGAGAGTACCAGCAGGGGGCTGCGGGGGGGCAGGCGTCTGTGGGGTCTGAAAGGAGAAGCAGGGATGTGGTGTGGTCCCACAGGTGGGGGCCCCAGCCCAGTGGGGGAGAGCTCCCGGCGTGCGGCACAGGCAGGTGACCTCCTGAGCCCTGCACACCTCGAGCTCACCACAGAGGCCTCTGGGCTGCACGACTGTGCCCTCCGGCCCTGGATGCCGAGCCGCCTGGCCTGTGGCAGCCCCTGCGGGGCGGGAGGTGTGGGTTCAACCCCCCCGGGGGGGGGCAGTGGTTGTGTCCGGGCACGGATGCACTCCTCTGTCTCCGGTCTGCTGCGGGCTGCCTGCTGGTCCGGGAAACTGCCCGAAAGAGAAGCGAACGTTCCCAGCCGGGGGCCGGGTAGTCGGTTAAGTCCCGACTCTCCCTGCTGGCGGCCCTGTGGGGAGGCTGGGTGCGTGGACAAGAACGCCAGCATTGGGGTGGAGGAGGAAGCCTCGTACGATCTGGGAAGTGTAGGACTGTGCAGGAATTCCGGAGTTAGCTTCTAATGACCCATATTAGGCTCCTGTTCCTGGTCTTCACGGGGAAGCGGGCATGGTTTGCGGTAGCAGCCGACTATGAACTCTAACTTTCCTACTTGCATATATGTCATATAACTGCTCTTTTTATTTTTAAACAGGGGTGATTCTTCAAGAGCGCCTTCGGACTTTGAGAGTTTACAGTTTTGATTTTACACTCAACTTTTGACACTTCCTTTAAATTATGTTTTTATTAAGATTATTTTATTATGGGGGAGAAAGGTATTTGGAAGACTTTGTGACTCGCATGTCCCATCCTGTGTGCCGGCCCCTCCCCAGTGCCGCCCTGTGTCGACACCCCACGTGGTCTCCGCGGCGCTCCGCCGAGGAGGGGGGCCTCTGGGCGGGGGTGGATGACGCACGCGCCGGGGGGGTGCCCAGCAATCACCTCGTTTCTCCAACTACCTCCCGTCATCGTGGATTCAAGCGTGCAGCCCGTTGCTTCCCCTGGAATGCCTAGACCACAAGGCGTGTGCCCCGTGGACCGAGGAGGGATCAGTTAGCGAGTGCCGACGACACTTGGTGCTGGTAACCCGAGGGCATTGCTTGCCACCAGGAGCGGTGAAACCGGAAGCAGCCTCGGCACTGCTGCTCTGCGGGGCCTCTCGCTGCCCGCGGTGGCGGGGACGCGGCGGCCAAAGGGAACGGTTGGTTTGGTGTCACATGGAACGGCGAGTAGTCTGTCTCTCTGAAGAGTGGTTTCAGGATCCCTGTCCTCTGGCCGCGAGTCCCTCCCTGGGGCTGGGAAATACTCCTTGCATCAAGGGGTTGCTTAAAAAAAAGAACAAAGAATCTTTTGGGGAAACTGCCTCTCAGAGCCTCTCCTATATAGACAGCTTTGCTCGAGGGGAGTTTGTCCTTCCAGAATGGTGTTACTGCCATTGAACTGCAATTGGAAAAGCTATTTTCTTAACGTGGTGTAACCGTAGGCACCGCCGCGTGCCCGCTGTCCTCCGGCTAAGACTCCGTGTGTACTCTAAATTAAATAAATGACGCAGAACGAGACACGCCTTTGTGTGTTGTGCTCTTTATGTCGCGGCCGGGCGGGAAATGTCTCGGTGCGGTCCTGGACGTGCCCATGTCACCTCCGGTCCGCACCTGGCTGTCCTCGGTGGGGGCGGCCTTAAGTGGATGAGCTGATCGTCTGCTTAAAAACTGAGAGGAGCCTTTCTTTTTCGTGGGAAACCAGAATTTCCCCCAAAGGCTTCAAATTCGGGTTCCCAGCATATAGAGATGCAGAGAAGCGTGGGGGCTGCTTGGTTGTGGGAAAGAGGGGAGGCCCGTGTTACTCACGGGGGTCCCTCCCTCTGCCGGGCGTGGATGGGGCCTTCGTGCGTGTGAACCGGGAGCGGCGGGCCGACGGCTGTCAGCCAGCAGGACCGCTTTGTCCGCCGCTGGTCCTCTTGTCCCTGGCCTTCTGCGTCCAGGGCAGTGTCCCGAGTGGTTTCTCCCCAGAGTGACGTCAGCGCCACTGACCCTGCGCTCCTTGGGGCCTGTTGCTGCCGTCCGCGCCACCCGCCCTCTGGCCGCTGAGCCCGCCTCCTCGTGAGCTGGCTCCTCCGAACAGGCCGAGGCCGGGGCTCAGGCTGGCTTGCCGGTCCGCGGCCAACCGCCGTGCCTCGGACATTCGAGAAACCGGGCTGGGGAGAAGAATGTTGCTCCGCGGTTAGCGCAGCTCCGTGGGGAGATCGGGAGAAGCAGCGGCTTCCCTGCGTGCCTGCGCTCACCGGCTCCAGGCCGCCGTCCCCGCTGGGGCCCCGAAGCAGGAGTTACCGCGCCACCTCCGTCTCCGTCTCTCGCGGACCGAAGTAAAGCGTGTCACTCACGGAGGTCTTCACGCCTGGCTTGGCGCTTGGGACGCGGCCGACGGGGTGGGTTCCGAGCCCCGTTCGCGCCCGGTGGGCTCAGCCTGAATCCTTCCCGACGTGCCCACGTGGCAGCGCCGCGCCGTACAACGCTGAGGGCTCGGTGGGCGAGGGACGGTTTGCACACGTTCCCGGGCCTCAGCTGGCCGTGGTTAAGTGCTGGCCGCTCGGGGAACCCTGTGGAGAAGGGACCCCGGCTGGCTGTCCAGGGCCGGTGGAGCCCCAGCAGCCCTGCGCCCTCCTCCGCCCCGCCGGCCGAGGCAGCGGGCGCCGTGGCACTTCCACCCAGCCGGGCCGGGGCTTAGCGGCCTGGAGCAGCTCACCTGGTCTTTGTCACCACCGGCTGTGTCCCAGGAGGGGCACTTCTGAGGGTCGTGCTGCCCGGACCAGCCTCTAGCCTGTGCCCAGCATGTGGACGGGGCTCAAAATGCCCCCGACTTCCTCAGCAGCACATCCTCTATGCGGTTCTCAGGGAGCCTCTGGAAACTTGGTTCCGGCCCTGCGTTTGGGTGACCGGGGAGCCCAGCGGACGAGCAGCAGGAGTTGGGTAGTGACGTGCCACGAGACCGGCCTCCCTTGCTGGCGCGGTTGGTAAGTGGGAAGAGCGAGTCTCCGAGCAGCCGAGCCTGGCACAGGAGGGGTCTCCTGGCCGACGACCCAGGGGCTGCGGTGCCAGAGCTGCTCCGTCTACTCCGGATGCGGCCAAGGACCTCTAGCCCAACGACGGAGAGCGGAGCAGCGCAAGTGTGTTCTGTGGCTGTCCTGTGAAATGCCCTGTTTGACCAGGTGCCACGCTCTTCTGGTGGCTTGGACCCTAAGCTGGGTATTGCTCGTTTCCCCAGCAGGTTGCTATTTGGCATCTGTGACCTGTCAGCCGTGGTTTAGGTTCTGAACGTTAGCAATGAACAAAACAGACCCAAATCCCTGTCCCCGGAAGCGTGTATTCTACTGTGGCGCAGGGAACAGCAAGGAAAGCTAGAGTGTGACTGACATGTGCGCGGAGGAAGGAGGCCGGAAGCAGGCAAGGGGGAGGGAGGTGTCATCTGCAGTAGGGCGGGCAGGGAATTGGCTTTCCCCTCCACTTGAAGGAGGAGCCCAGAGGAAACAGCAGCCCTGCAGCTCGGGGGAGCAGCCTTCCAGGCGGGGAAGCACCCAGTGCAAAGGCCCTGCAGCAGGTGTGTTCGGGAGACAATGGGTCTTCTGTAGTGGGAACACCCGAGCAAGGGGCAGAGGGGCTGAGGTCAGATGGGCCAGGTTGTGCAGAATTGGGTAGCCCGCTGTTTGGAATTTGCCGCTGATGAAATGGGGAGCTCCTGCAGGGCTTTGGCTGCTAGCATGGCATGATCAGATGTTGGCTCGGGAGTGTCGGGCTCTGCTGGTGGAGATGAGGGGGGGATCCTCACTAGTGGCTGGAGGGTGCTTGGCCTGGAGGTCCCACCCTGTGCAGGTGCTAGTGGGTGCTGGGGAGACATAGGACGTCGGGTCTGATGATGACCAAGTGCCCCCGCTCCCTGTGCATTTCACTGTCTTACAGATGAAGAAGCTGAACAAAGAGGTAGCAGTCTGTCCCCCCCTCCAGGGGACCCGGTCTGTAAGGTTGAGCTGGAGTGGATTGCAACTGTCGGGGCCCCCCAGCTCTGGGTGGGAGGAACCCCCGGGCTGGCTCGGCCTCCTGGACAGAGGTGGGCTGGCCATGGGACTCAGGACTCAGCTGCGTCCAGCGGGCTGACTGCGCGGCCGAGAAAGAACATCCTTGCCCCAGGTGCATGTAATTTATTCAAGAGCTGGGACAATCACAAGTTCCAGCAAGCCCAGGGTCGGGTGCCCGGTGACTGAGTGTGCCTTGCCATTGGCAGAAAGGCTTTCCGAAGAGGACACGTTCCTTTCTGGCCCGTCTCGCCGCTGGGGTCAGAGACCCCAGCCCGGGCAAAATGAGCGTCTGAGGGAGTAGGGCAGTCCCTCACAGCTTGGCCCTGGGATGGCTCTGGCCGAGTTTTTAGCAGTTCTTTCTGGAAGTAAGGTTCCTGGGGGCTCAGGCTAAGAGCAGTTCCTCAGCTCCAAAGTCCGGGGTCTGCTCAGGATTGAAGCCTGCCCTCGGGCTGTTGTTGAAGGAGCGTGGACGGCTGCGCTCCCATCCACCTCCGAGCAGCCCAGATGGCTTTCAGGGCGAGGACTTGGGCTCACACAGGCAGTCCCGCATCTGCCAGTGGAGCTGGCCTCCCCTGCGCCACTCTGTCGCCCGCCCGCGCGCCGGGGCCGTCACAGGACGCAGCACGTGCAGGAGACGGGCGCGGGCTGCTGCAGCTGCTGCCTCAGTTGCTCCTTCTCCGCCGTCAGCACCTTGAGCCTCTGCTCCAGCTTGCTCAGCTTGGCCGCCCACTTCTGCGGGTGCCACAGAGGTAGAGGTCCATGCTGGGGCCGCCGGGGGCCGCGCCCCGCCCCCGCCTGGGGTTGAGCCGATGGAGGAGGGCGAGATCCAGGAGGGCCCTGGGGGGCCTACTCGAGGCCACCGGGAACCACATGGGCCCGGCGAGGTGCAAGCCAGGTCCCTGGCCCGGCCGCCACCCCTGACATGTCAGCCCTGGGTCTTGAGGGAAGCCGCCCGCCCGGAGGCCTGCCAGCATCCCAGACCCGGGGCTGACCCACCCTCTGGAGCCTCCTCGGGTCCCAGGGGCAGACCCGGGTGGGCCGCCGCCCCATCACGTCCTTCCCTCTCTCGCCGGCAGCCCCTTGCCCTCCACTGCTTCTCTGCCACCTGATGTGGCCCTCTTGAAAAGGCTTTTTCTTGGGACTGTGTCCAGCACTAACTGCCTCCTCATCGTAAGGGCCTCCCCCCAAATGCACTACAGTCTTTGGGGTGGTCTTCAGCCTTCTCCATATGCCACTCCCCCGGCTCGGCCAGCCACACGATGCCCCCGAGTGTGTGGGCTGCTTTCAGTGCAGCCCTCCCGTGTTCTGGCGGGTGATGGGGCACCGGGGGACGCTGATGGCATGGCCCGGACTGCGCGGTGAGGGGCCCCCACCCTGGCCGCTCACCTGCCTGCACCATTCCTGGATGGCGTGGCCGGACAGCGGGCCCTGGATGCTCCCGTCCCGCCGCAGGAACACCTCCCCCTGGTCGGTCTCGTAGAGCTGCGGCTCGGCCTGGGCCCTGGGGGCGTGCACGCTCAGGCGGATCACCTTGGTAAGGGTGACAGCGACTCTGGCAGGCACTGCGGCCCCCCCACATCCCAGGGCTCCCTCCCGGGGGCTCCCGGAGCAGCCCGGGGACGGGGTTTCCAGCCTCTCCTCCCGTCACTCTCCCCGGTCCCCTTGGCCCCCGTCCCCACCCAGCCCTGCTCGGCAGAGTGGAGGCGGGCCCTCCCTCGTTGAGTCGGGGGTGGGAGGGGTGGGGGGGGACAGGACAGACCCCGAGAGCTTCCTGGCGGCGGCTCACCTTGAGCGGCGCGTCGGAGGCGGAGGTGCTGACCACCGGGATGAAGGAGAGCGTGTAGGCGTCGGGGAAGACCTGGGGCTGGAAGCCCTGCAGGACGGAGTCCACGAGCAGGCGCACGCGGTCCTCGTCGTGGTGGCTGCAGCGCACGCCCTGCACCAGGCCGCTGTCCTCGACGCCCACGAACAGGCTGCCGCCCTCGCTGTTGAGGAAGGCGCACACGTTGCGCCGCAGGTGGTGCTTGAAGGCCAGGCTCAGGTACTCGCCGCCGCCGCGCTTGAACTCCACGCTGCGCGTCTCGTTGCCCAGGAAGGCGCCCTGGAAGAGGCGCTCCTGGCCCGTTATCTCCTGGTGCACGATGGCGCTGTCGGAGCGCGTGCCACCCGGCTGGCCCCGGGACCTCTGCAGGGCCCGCCCTGGGGTGCCGTGGGTGGGTCTGGGGTTGGGGCGGGGGCTCGGGCGGCTGTCTTTCTCCTGCTGGGGCGAGGGCTGAGAGTCAGGAGCCCCGAGCCTGGCAGCGAGGGGGACGGGACACCCCCTTCCGCCCGGGGGGGCCCAGCCGCTCAGCCATCCTGATGCCCCCTCCCAGCGGAGGGGCCTGATTCTGCCCACCGTCCCGTAGCCAGGGCGGGAGACGCACTGAGGCAAGGGTTTGACCCGCCACCGCTCCTTCCCGGGGCGGCGGGGTGCGTGCTGGGTACGATGCGCTCTCCTTCCCGGGGCTGGGAGCTGGAGGTGCTGTGGCCGAGCTCTGCCCACCTCGTTACAGGCGGGCCTCTGAGGCCCAGGGCCAGATCACTCCAGGACATACCTCAGCAGCCTGAGGTCCCCTGTGACAGGTCTCTGAATTGTGAGGGGGGATCCCAGAAACCCACCCCCTTCCTGGTCTCCCTGGAACGCCTGCCTGTCGCTTTCTGGACCGCTGACCAGTCCTCCTGAATCTCAGCCCTCCTCCAGCCCTCCTGAGACCCTGTCCATGGTTTCTGCTCTGTTCCAGGCCTCTGCGCGTGAGCAGGCTCATGGCCACTGGCCGAGTCTGGGCCTCGCGCGGCCTCCCTACCTCCAGGCTCCTCCCGTCCCATCCACCCTCCTCGCTGACTCTGGCTCCTTGCTGCCTCCCGGTCTCCAGCAGTGGTTTCTGGGGCCGGCAGCGCAGTGGGGGCTGGGGCACGGTGGCGAGGGGCACATCCCTACCAGCCCCGCGGCTCCCGGACAAGACAGTTCATCAGAAACATGAGGAAACTGTCACACAAACATGAAGTCAGGCTCACAAAGCTGTTCAGTTCCGCAACAATCGAAACACCACAGAGTTCTCATCCCCAAAGAAAAGGAAAACCAAGACCACCTGTCTCACAGAGTGTCCTACCTTAGCCACAGGGAGTTGACGCTCCCTCCCATCCCCCATAAAGACCCCCC